AGGGAAGGAAATGAATATTAATAGAGAAATAACACATTTTGAATTGCAATTACTAAACTTAAGAAAGTAAAAGTGCTGGGAAGTAGTCGATCAATATTAGTGAGTTAAAAATAACTGTCTCTTTAAGTTTATTTTACTCTAGAAGAATGCCATAGATGGCAGCTTAAACAACGGAATTTTATATCTCCCAGTTCTGGAGCTTGAGATTTCAAAAATCTGGCTCTGGTAAATAGAGTATTCTACTTTTCTGTAACATCAAGACAAAAGTTAAGCAAAGTGGGATTTAAAAACATACTTTTAATATACAAAATTTCATATTTTAGTGACTACTAATGGACCACTCTGTCCACATTAGATTTCATTTTTTTTTGTAAATAGATGGTAAACACTGTTAATTCAGAAACAGGCTATAGAGTTAACAAATACATTAATAGGAATAAAGATTATTATAGAATATGGTGAATCATAATAGATACAAGCGATCAGAAGGAGCTTTGAATATTCTACTCCATACCAGACTGAGGAGAAAAGGGTAGCACAACAGAGCAACTATAGTCAACAATATGTACATTTACAAATAACTAAAAAAGTAAAATCAAAACGTTTCTAAAACAAATAATGGGTAAATGCTTGAAGTGATGGATACCCCAATTACCTTGATTTGATTATTACGCATTGTATGCTTGCATGAAAACATTACATATATCCCAAATTGTATAAAACTATTATGTATCCAAAATAATAAATTCTTCAAAAAAAAATAGACGTCTTAATCTTAGGAGCTGAGTAGTTGCCTAGATTGTTTGTTTCTACATATCACTGAACTACAGAAGAATGTGACATAGAAGGCAGTATGTTAATTTTGTTGCCTTTTGATTTTCCTCATTTCTTCCTCTTTAAGTATGATATAAAATTTTATTTTTTCTAATTTATTTATCATACAAACACATGGAAATAAAATGCAAAAATGAATTTTACAGGTAGTCCCACCAATCTGATTTCAGAAAAATTTTTTTACATAGTTTTTATCAGGTCAGTAGCTAATTCTGGGTATACAATTCTCAGCAATATGGCTTAACTGGAAATGAAACTGTATGGAAAAGATCAAAATTATACTCATAGGTTTGTAGAAAACTAAAGAAAGCAACTACATTAATAATGCTCTTCAGTGGCATTATAGAGATATTGGTTTACAATAATGACAGTAATTTTATTATCATTATTCATTGTTTCTGATACCAGAATAATGAAGACAGCTTAATAGAATAAAGTAGCAAATTATCCTTCTCATGAGTAAAAGATGCAAATATTAACATTAAATAAATTTTAATAAAACACCATTATTTTAACTATATGCTTTACACATTAATCAAGCCAAAAGCTCTCATTTTAAAATCAAATTTAATTTAAAATGTCAGGAATAAATAGAAAAATACTACAATTGATGTATTCTTTGGGAAGGGAAACACTGGGTAAGAATGAACTATTTCTTCAGAAAGTCAGGGCGTGGGGAGTGTGTGTGTGTGTGTGTGTGTGTGTGTGTGCCTGTGTGTGCATGTGAGATGTGTATACACATATGAGTATATGAGCAACATAACCACATTCTCCCCCAAATTAAGGTAATTGTAAGTATTTTTGTTTGCTTGCTTTAAGTCAGGAGGAAAAAATCCTGGAAAAGGAATTATAAAATAAGCCCATGTAAAAAGATGCAATAAAAGAGAGCTAAGAGTAGAAATCGGTGAAAAAGATAACGGAAAAACAACATAAAACATAAAAAAAAAAACAAAAACTGTTTCTTTAAAAATTATAATAGAATAATATTATTTTACCTAAATTGATAAAAACATTTAAAAGTTAAGATAAATTAGTAAGGCTAGACATAAAATGAGCCATCATTAATATTCCTCCTACAAGTATTAAAATAAGAATAAAGAACCATTATGAAATATATTATGACAATACCATGAACCACTTAGATACAGGGTACAAATTTATTGAAAGATATAAATTACCAATATTAATGCAAGAATAAATATAAATCCTGATTATATCTATTTGACTAAGGAAAGTTAATTCTATGCTCATCAAGAGAAACTGTATCTCATTTTTGAGCTCTTATTTTTTTTTACTTTATGTCTCATATATTAAGGTCTGTCTTCATTTTGTCTTCACAAAGAGTGATATATTTTCTAAGTCATTATATATCTTGGATTCTATCACTATTACTTATTCTTTGATTGGGCAATATTTCTTCAGTAAAAACTTTACAATTAAAAATAAATACAAATACCACTTGTTTGAGTTGAAATGGTTTTCACTGAAAATGCCTGCAAACCTTTTTCACTAAATAAAGTAATATAATGCCTCATATAAATAGACATTTAGATAGGAGAGATTACAGGCATAATTGTTATAAATATCTTATTTAAGGATTGCTATATGTTTTTTTCTGCCCCTTAATACTACAATTCTCAGCCTTAAACTTAATCTCTAAACATGTTCCCTTGAGGTCCAGGTGTCTTCTTTGTGGATTTGTGGATGAATGTTTCCTTGTTCATTTGCAACAGGAGATTGAGAGATGTCTTTTTTAATCGAAAATTATAATTACTTTTTTTTTTGGTTTAAATATACTACCTTGGGCATGTGCACACAGTTACAACAATAGCAATTTTAAGAAATGTTGCTCTTAATTTGAGCTCCAAATTACTGGTTGGTAATTTTAGTCTCCATGATCTAAAAGTATCTTGTGATTGTAAGGAGGAACAGTTGATAAAATCACTATCATCAAAATAACAACCTAATTTCACATGCTAAAAAAGAAAAGCGACAACTGCTTCCCTTATTGTTGACTTTTAATAACCTTTAGGTAAGTTTCAAATTTACACATTTGTATTACTTATTCTTTAATAAACATTGGTTTTACCTAGAAGTTAATTGAGGAATTTCCAGTTACTTTAGCCAATCCCCAGCACAGGAGGACACAGCTGCCCCCATCCATAAGGATTCAGAATTGCTTACATTCACTATGGAGAAAAGTTGTGTCTAGAATCCGTGTTGTACTATATTGTTCTGCATTTAAACACTGGGTTTGAAATTGACATTGGTAACATTTAAAAAATGAAATTTTGTCATTTATTGACAAACCAAATTGTAGATGGAGTCTTGCACAAAGTAAAGACTCTCTTCTGAAGGAATAGGAGGTAAAGAGGTGAGCCTGCTTGTTGTATGTTTATAGCTAATGTACATTACTGTTCTTTTCTTCAAATTTAAAATAATGCTCCTTATAACTCAAATATTTTAATAATATATGGCTATTCATGGATATATTGTATATTACATTGTCTGGCATAATGTGAGGTCTTGTAATTTGCAGAGAAGTTGTGGCACAGAGGTGTCACAGACAATTGTGATGAACCTGAAAGAGAGCCACAGGATTCTAATCTGGGAAGCCCACAGGAAAAAAAAAAAAAAACCTTCTAATTTATCCTCAGAAGTAA